CCTTGTAGAAAGTAGAGTGGATATAGTATCCTGGAGTGTGATTATAAATTAAAATGTCCCCTTTTCTTCAGAAAGAGCAAGTCAATATCTAATCTCACAAAGCTCACCCCCAGCCTCTCTTCCCTTCATGCTGGAACACAATGCTTCTACTGGTGTGAAGCAAAAATGCGCAGGCACGTGCTGAAGTATAATTAAAGGTACATTTCCACTCAGCTTGCGTGGCCACAAGGTAGCCACTTCAGGAACTGAAATATAATAACAAGTCACCTAGGTGAAGCTACCTGGGAGCAATGCACTATGAACCCAAATGCTTTTGACTTGGTACCATGTGGCTCTCACAGCCAGTCTATCTGTGAACTTGAGAGAATAAAATAAGCAAACTGTGCTGTAGAAACATCCATGGTTATTTATATTTATATATGCCTAATATATCTCCTCTATGTATAGTAAGAGGAGATATGCTCTTCTGGAACAAATCTTGATTCCTGATGAAAATGAACACAGGGTTCTGTGAATCAACCTTTGTTACTCCTCACCTTCCCTCTAAGCATCTACACCCATGTTTTGCCTTCTGCACACCTTAAAATGATACATTTCCAAGTTTTTCTTGAACATCTCCTATATCTACAAGTCCATCCAGGAATGAGGAAATATAAAAATTAACGTTGGGTACTTTTAAAAATGTACATGAAGATTATTTGGAAAGAATGGGATTTGTATTCACTGATTCCTCACTAAGAGAGAACATAAAATCTGTTGTTCTTTGATAGTTAGCAATAGTTTCAAGGCAAAATGCCTTTATATATGAATTCTTCTATCCACGTTTCTCTCTCTCTACCTATCCTTAAAAAAAAGCTGTCTGAAAAGCAAGCTATTAGAGCAGAATTAGCTGTGATTAAGCTTAATGTTTTCTCTTAACTATTTTTCTTAACTTCAGAGACAATACTCATTTCTAGTGATCGACTCGGTGTTGTGGAACAAGGCTATCCATACTCGAATCAATTAATTTTTAACCCATTTCAGGCATGCGACACTGCGTTTTCTTTTTCTCAATAAACAAGTAAAACATAAGCAGTAGTGTTCCAAGCTAGACTTTTCTTTCCTTACGCGATGAAAAAATAACCTCATGAAGCATGCAAGCATTGAACTTTTAAATTGGAATTAAGTCATTCTCTAAAATATCAATGTGCTAACTAACTGCATTTTCAAATGTTCGTCAAATCAAGACGAGAGACACTCTAATTGCTTAGGAGAGACAGCACCGTGAGCAACCTCAGGAAAACGCATTTACTGAGACCAAACCGAGTCACAAAAAGCGAAGAAAAAGTCTCCTCTTCGTGCTATGGTCTGAATGTCTGTGTCCCCAAATTCCCATACACTTGGCCCTTGAACAATATAGGGGTTCCGGGCACCAATCCCCCCAATGAAATAAAAAATGCAGTGCGGATAACTTTTATTCCCCCCAAAATGTAACTGCTAAGAGCCTACTGTTGACTAGAAGCCTTACTGATAGCACAAACATTTGACTCACACATATTTGGTCTGTTATATGTATTATATGCTGTCTTCTTGCAATAAAATAAGTGAGAGGAAAGAAACTGTTATTTTAAAAAATCATAAGGAAGAGAAAATGCATTTACATTATTTATTGGGGAAGAAAAATCCATGTTGTTCCACGGTCAACTGCATTGCTATCGTAAGGGCCAGTGGGGGGCCTCAGAAGGTGATCAGGTCATGGGGATGGAGTTCTCATCAATGGTACAAAAGAGACATCACAGAGGTCCCTGGAACCCTTCCACCAGGTAAGGACACAGGCACCAGCCCCTGGTTTACAACCTGGAAAACAGCCGCCGCCAGAATTTGCCCATCCTCCTGCCATGAACTTGGTTTCCCATCCTCCTGCCATGAACTTGGTCTCCCAGCCTCCTGGGTTATGAGAAATACATGTCTCTCTGCTTTGGTATTTTATTACAGCGGCCCCAGACAATGAAGGCACCTTCCCTTCACACACCCAAACGGAACCCAAGGCTCACAGAGCAATAATAAAACAAGATCACGAAAGATTCTCTTTGGACGTAGAAATACGAACGAAGGTGGTGTTTGCTGCGTGCAGGTCCCCGATGCAGGGAGGATGCTGAAAAGGCACCCTGACATCAAAGCAATGTCTGCACAAACAAAGCAAGGAGGTATGAGCACTTCAGCCTGCCAACCGTTGATTTAGGAGGCCGCAGACGCCCACTGGTTTTGCTGAAAGGCTTTGTTTGCATGGATAGAAGTTGATTTCTTTTTCAATAGGCGAGAAAGGTCATTAATAGCATTAATTTTCCCTCCACTACATAAATGCTGAATCACGTTTTATGATCTTATTAATATGGGCAGACTGCAACTTTAGATTAGTATGGCACACCTCTATTTGTAAGTCAGCGGCATCAAATTGAGGCAGTTTATTAGAAAAATCTTATTTCCAGTGGTAGGTAGGTAGGGTTTTTTTTTTTGGCTATCCATCAGATAGTAATACACATGTAATACTTTTCTTCTACCATTATAATTTGTTCCTGAAAGATTTGGTTTTCCAACATAAAGTGATGAAGTAAATGCCCCCAGGGAACTAGAAATTTTAAAAATCCCTCCTCCAATGGAGAAGGCAAACCTGTGGGTCAGTATTTTCCAAACTATGGGTCACAACTTGGTTTTTAGATCATGAAATCATTCCGTGGACCATGGCAATTTTTTAACGGAAAAAAGAAAACATCCAAATTATTAGAGTACATCTAAAGTAAATTTCTTTTTCTAAATTAGTTATTATTTTCTCACTGTGGCTTACTTACACTAACTTGCTTTTCTATTTAATTGAACTTGGTACAATGAATTAAAATACAGATGAAAATTATCTTCTGTGGACTCTGTGTTTGTAGAGTGAATGTAGTTGTCACACTGGATTCTTCTCTTTCTTTTAATTTTGAATAAACACAGGATACACCTTCTTACAATGTTTGTGTATCTACTTACCTACTAAAATTTCTCAAACTTGAGAATGGTATCTGATGAGATCTCACTTTCCACTACATGTATAAGAAGAAAACAGGAAATATTTGAGACATTAAGGTATTTTCATTATAATAAATGAGACTACGGAAATATATTTAATACCAATTTCCCTTAATTTGCATGGATTCTTGGCTAAACTGACACAGATTTCTGCAGTCTAATTTTATCATAGTAGAGAAATTGTGTGAAGCTAATCTATTAAGGTAGATTAGTTGGTAAATACGGGGTTTCTTCATTCTTTATTTTGGAATAAACAGTTTAAATTAGAGCAGAGCACCTTGGAATCCTAGAATAGACCAAATTCAATTAGTGTTTACTGATCACTGCTTTTCCGAACCTGGTCTCCCCCTCGCAACGGTTCCAGGAAGTTGGGTTTGTTAAGGGCACAGCAGGAGGGAGGCCTCGGTGCTTGTTTTTATTGTGTCTAATCACTGGAAACGAATCATTAATCATAACAGAATGCAGTGAGTTTTCCAACTGTGGTAAATATTTATATGTGCCTTTGTGGTACATGTTATTCCGATCTCCCCAGATATTTTCTATTTGCTCTAAATCTCCCCAAGCAAATTTGTACTGGGAAGTCGTGATAAAATACGGCTGATCAATCATTTTGACTCTGAACATTCGGGGAGAAAGCAAAACCAAACAAAGCAAAAACAGAAAAAGGAAATCGCTAGATAGGTCACGACAGCCTTCATTTCAGGGACGCCTCTCGGAGAACAGTTCCTACATCTTCCTTGAATTTTTTTCAGTAACAGCGCACACAGCCGTGCCGAGTGGAAACACAAAGCCTGTTTACAGAGAGGACCCGTATCCATCAGCACGAGATATTCTGGTAGTGGACACCTGTCCGGAGGACCAACTGTGCTGAACCAGACGGACACTCCCAATAACACATCTCCTGTTGTCGGTGCCGAGCTACACGCCGGAGACAGACGAGGCATGGCCACTGCCCCCACGGAGGGGAAGTGACATGAACACAAATAATGTGGCGGGTGAGGGGCAGGGTCACACATGTGGTGTCACCAGGGAATGAGCCGGGAATGCCTGGACTCGGCCAGAGGTCACGGCAGCTGAGCACTTGACCGTGACCTTCCTCTCGTGTTTTGCCCATCTGTACAATGCACTCACAAATACTAGTTTTCTCTCTGTCTTCTAAGTCGTCCTCCATACAATAAACACAGAGACAGCAAGGGACATCTGGAGGAACTGCGTGAAACTTTTACTGTGTATCATTCAACTACGGGACTTATCGGTCCCGCATCATGTCCAATTTTTCTCTCAGAACATCTCACGCTGCAGTTCCACTTTCTCTGCGCCACATCACTCAACGAATATTCCGAGGCTGCTGAGTCTGTTCAGATAACGCTACAGAAGCCTCAGTTGATCATGCCACTATGGTGTCAAGTTTAAAAATCACCCTACTCAGTTGATACACACATCTCGTCCTCATCTTTGTCTGCTTTCTCCCCTTGCAATTTGCATACGTTTAGCAAAATCACTTTGGAGTTCTGATTCATGCAGTTCAGTAGACCTCTGAAGTCATAATTAAATTACTATCATCCTATTACTACTAATAAAAGATATCTGATGTCTGTGAAGTCAAAAGGCACCAGATACTATTATGTTAATGTAACTAAACATTCTTTTGAAACATAAAATATTCACGGAAAGGAATACCAATTTCTGTATTGAATTTAGGCGAAATAGAAGACGTTCTATTTTGAGACAGTCTCAACCGACTTTTCTTCTCGCACCTCCCGCACCCTCTAAATAAGGTCCAAGCTCCCCTCATTTTATCAGCACTCAGGGCAACCAAGAAAGAAGCTCGAAAGTCTGGATTCAGCTGTAACCACCAGCGAGTAACACCAACCAAGCAGAAGGAAATAAACGCAATGCGCAGAAATCGCCTCGGCCGTCCCTGACGCAAGTGTCAAAGCAACGTCACTGACCTGAGGAAATATCTATCTGGCTCATCTTGGTCTGCGTGACGTTGATGTGGACGCCGACCTTGCTCTCGGTGAGGTCGATCTCCACGTTGCCCAAGTCGTCGGCGAAGTGACTGAAAAGCAGGAGGCCGCTGGGGTTCCAGGTCCGGAACTGGAAGCTGACCGCGAACAGGTCCTGGTGGAGCCGCCCGGGCACCTCCAGGTAGCTGGTGGCGTTGAAAAAGACGGGCACCGTGGAGGGCTCCACGCAGGAGAAGCTCAGGTTTCCCTGTGAAACACAAGGGCCTTTTTGAGCAAAGCGCAGGATGAAATAAGCAGCCAGGTCAGAGGGCAGATAGAGCTGCGGTTCTACAGGTTCCAAAGCGGCCCTTTGCCTGTGCCAAGCTCCCACACACAGCAGTCAGCAGGGGCATCCCGTGGCATGAATCCACTTGGGACTGTGTCCCCAAGAGGCTGTGGAATGTGCCCATCAAGTGGAGGGGGACAACACAAGCCCACTGCATCGTGAAATTGAGAGACCGGCAGCCTGCTGTGATGGGCTGGCCAGCGGACGGGCCGTGCATCTCTGAGAGCTGGAGGGTGGGCCACTGGGCTTTCTGAAGACAGCCAAGAGAGGCTGCTCACCTGCCCCTCCTAACAGCGCATCTTCCAGGGAGGAGACGTCCCTGCCTTCCATTGGGTGTCCTATTCAAATGTTTGTTGATATACTCCTCTGGTCTCAGTGGGGACTATGGTCATTTGGTTGCTGTTGAATAAGCTGATATCATGGGGCAAATAACCTTGGGTTTTATATCCATACCTGTCTATGAATATTAACTATTTGGCATGAGCCTAACTGTGATTATTTCAGGTTATTTTGCTATTCAATACAAAATCCCATTTAAATTTTCATGAACTATGCTTACATCCTAATGAATTAGTGTTTATGGAAACTGTTTAGTCACCAGGGGGTGAGACCCCAGGCTCGAATGTGGGGTGGGGAGATCATCCGAGCTCCTTCACACACAGCACCTGCTGCCAGGAACCGTCAGGTGTGTGGGTCTCTGGAATGCCGGACTCACCCAGACAACATTCTGGGGTGATGTGGCTGCTGCCCAGAGAACACACATACTGGATTTTTACTTTAAATCCTCACCAAGGAAATATTTATTGATTTGAGAAAAAAAAGGAAGGGAGAGAGAGCGAGAAACACCCATTGTTTGCCTCTCATACCTGCCCTGATCTGGGCTCGAACCTGCTACCTAGGTATGTGCCCAGAGCGGGGATCAAACCTGTCACCTTTTGGTGTATGGGACAATGCTCCAGCCACCTGAGCCACTTCTCCAGGGCACACAACATGTTGAAATTGATATTTTTCAATAATCCTGAGCAGTGTCACAGGGAGACAGGGATGCCAGAGTGTCCTTTGATTTTTTGGTCTCTTCCTTGACACAGGTAAACCTAGAAGCTACTCACACTGAAGCCGGAAGACACACAGCAGGCTGCTAGGTGACAGAGTCCCCTGTCCTGTGGTGGCCAATCCTTATTCGGCCATATTGTATTTGATGTGTTTAGAATCATGACAAAAGTGCCTTTACTTCTATATTTGGATGAATTATCTCTGCAAACATGGAAGCAACTATAATAAAACTCCTGGTTTTAACACTTTTCAAATAGTAAATCCCACTATGTGTGACGAGACCTTTGGAACCAGGATGGTGACAATTTAAGTTCAGCACACCCCCCTTACAGAAGGATGTCTGCCCTTCCGAATGAAGGGACCCAGAAACACTGAGGCTAAAATGCTATGCCCCTTCTGAATGAAACTCACTGTCCAGTTCTGGCTAATTCAACCCAAGCACTGGGGTCGAGTCTCAGAGTTCACCCAGTACCAACACATCCAGCAGTTCTACAGTCAGTCTGACACTGTTGGGCCCTGCACCAGCGTGAGGGAAAATGCTACGATGCTGTTGTGCGATACTCCACAGGACACGAACGCTCAGGGGGTCAGGAATCTCACCACGTTGGAGGGCTCCAGCTTCTTCCTTCTCGCGAGATCCGTGATGTTGATGCCGTTGTAGTTGATGCCTTCCATGCAGCCTTTGAAATTCTTTCGACTGCTGGAGCTCGGCTTCCCAGAAAAAGGGACGCCTCCAAAGGTTATCTGTGAGGAAAAAACATGCCAACAGTCACGCTGTATTCGACTATAAAGGAAAATAACATTCACAGTAAGTGAGACAAAACCATTCACACGGGACAGGCCTGTTATATTTACATCCACCGATATACAGAGTCCAGCACAAACAACGCCCCTTTTTGATTACGAAATCTTTTTATTACAAACTCATAAGCACACAATTCTGTAACATAAGAATATCACACTCAAGCACACCCTAGGACATTTTAGGTGAGATGTTCAAATTCAAACTATACATGATTACACTCTATTATTTATTACCCTACCAACCACACTCAAGCCGGCCTCACTTCTGCGGGACCCTGTACACAAAGGTTTTCCAGTCTCCAAAATCTGGTGCATATAAATTTGTGTTGTTATTGAACTGAATAACAGTGTCATTAATTCTGGCAATTAGATTATAACTGGAACAAGAAAACTGCAACAGTCCCTTGCGTTTGTGCTACCCAAAAGGCAATTTATAAATTTTCCTGAGAATGTCTCAAAACATTTCCCACAGCAAACATATTTGATTAAGTAATATTAAAAATAATTTTTGTGTTTATCCTTCAAAGACACACTATCAATAAATGCCTCTAGTCTTCAGGAGATAACCAGCACTAATATATAAGTTAATAAAAGTGTAGCCAAAAGCAAGGAATATTGTATTTTCCTGACATAAACTAACTATAGTCTAATGACCATTAAAGTAAAAAATTCATTAGACTTGCGGTGAACACAGACAATAGTTCATTCAGTCCCATTACTGTATTGATGAGGAACATCTTCAAAGTTGGTGGCTGGAACTTGAGAAGTGCAGGTTTAAAGATATTATAGGCCTTCCAAACTCTAAGGAATAAGACTAATATTTCTTCCTGTGACCCTCTAGCTACTATTGCCCGTAAAAAGAGTACTTTTTCATACATCTTTGGTCAAGTGACAGTATTGTAATACCATGTTTATATAACACAAAATTATACAGCATTGCCAATGATGACATTTACTGCTAATAATGAAAAAGTAGTGTGTGGTTCTACTAATCAGAGCTGTAACATCAAGATATATAATGTAGACGTTATGTGTGTTTGCCATTATCATTCAATGCTACCATTAGGAATTTTTCTTAGAAAGCTTTGAAAATGAAAGCGATAGGTAAGGCAGTTTTAAATGTCAAGGCTGCATGTTTGATACATCAGGCAGAGATCTTTCTAGAAGGCCATTGGATGATCGTGTTCCATTATTTAGCATCCTGGCATTTTATATGCCTAATTTGATTTAGGGGGAAAGAATCAGAAATTAAGGATGGTTCATGAGATAATACAGGAAAAAAACACCTCACCTAATAAAAGAAAAAAATGATGGTTAGCTATATATCATTTATCAGAAAGTTTATATGTAGAAAGGAAAGGGGGACACTGAGACTGCATTGAAAAATTAGAAAACCACAAGAGGAAAAAATAGAGAATAACTAAAATAATAGCATGACTGAAGAAATATTTTCAAGTGCCACTGAACTGAACTTATTAGGAACCTGTAGGTATAGGTATACCTCCTACCACAGGGAAGAATGGCTGGTACGAAAACGGAGTGTTGCATTTCCTATCCGTAACTTACTTGACCAGTCCCGCCCCAGTTGATGGTAACGAGATCCCCTGTTCCTGATGCCGTGCGGCACCGCATTTTGAATGACAGAACTAAACCCTAGTTTAGCGTGCTTGTTCTGCTCTTTCTCCCCGTGCACAGTTTGCCTAGGGGTCCTTTCCCTTTGGGAGGATGGCACAGACACTCCTCTGGGACTCTTCTGTCAGCAGCTGGTGGCATGTGCCCCGCATCCTGGGAGGTGCCCGGGTGAGGAATCACCACCTCAGTTTACCAGACTGCTCACCTCTAAGAGACTTGGGTTCAAATCCCAATTCCTAATGCAACCAATTGTGTGTTAATGTAACTAATCACTTCTTTCTCGTTATGTATTCTCACCAGTAAAATAAAGTGACTGGACCACAAAGTACTTTCTAATATTGTAATTATTCTGATAGTAAAAACTGTTGCAGTTCTTAAACATCAGATAGTTATATGACTCAAATGACTGACTTATCACGGATATTGCCATTCGGTGATAACCGTGACTTTGAAAACTAACTGCGTTCACCATCTTGTTAACTACCATGGGTTTACTGCTAATAATGAAAAAGTAGCGTGTAGTTCTACTAATCAGAGTTGTAAGAGCAAGATATATCATCTAGACATTATGTGTGCCAGACAACAAGGTATCTCTAAGTGTCCTTCCTCCCCACCTTCTTTTGGGCAAAAATTTGCTTTCCAGATCCACACATTGCTCCCTTGCCGATGTATGGTGTTTACCAGCTTCTCTGAAGCAAGTTTCAGTCTCGGGAGGTTTAAGTAAAAGGGCTGTGAGTGGCTCCGAGGGCTAGAACTGAAACGCCCTTCCTTTGCTCTCTCTCCTTCCCGCCGGCTGGCGTGCAACATGGGCGGGAGGAGCCAAGTCCAGGGATGTGCAGTGGGGATGGAGGGGCAGCAAGAGAACAGTGGGCGGAGCCTTGGTGACCAGGGTGCTGCCATCTGAGCCCAGGGCTACCTGCCTGGGGGCTCCTTTTACAGGAAAGAGGAAAATCAGAATTGTGACTGATATAACTGGTGGCTTCTGTGCCTTTCTGTTGCCTCTTCACATAGCCTGACAGTAAATGTTCTATTACACTCATTTTATAGGAAAGGAGTAAGACTTTTCCACTGGGGCACCCTCGGTAAAGGGCAAAAGGCAACTCAAACCCAGGTTTTTTCACTCCAGTTGGAGTCCAGGCAATGGATTCTCCCCACACTCCTAGGCAGGTCCCTGAGTGGACAAGGGGAAGCTATCCTCTCCTTTCCAAGAAGAGGTGTAGTGTGGGTACAAAGGCAAGGGCCTCACACCCCACGTGGTGTATCCTGGGATTTAGCCGACAGAGAGCAAGAAGCCAGGCCACACACCAGTCTGCTGTCCTGCCTTCTGATGCCATTGGCTGAGAGGAGGAAGACTGGTAGGTACACCTGTGTGTCCTGCACCCTTCTCAGGTGACCATGAACCTGGCAGCTTGACTGCAAATGGTGCCTGGCTTTCTCTGTGGCGTAAAGGGGCCACAGAGAGGTGAGGGAGGTGAACTCTTAAACACAGTCACCAGCAAAAAAAGAAATTCCCAGGTGGAGTTACATCTCCATGATTTCTATTGTTTCTCCTGTGATGCGCATCTCTGGGAATGGTGAGGGGAGAGATTTAAGTCACCCTAGTGGTGGTGTGTTGATCCCCGCTCCTACTGGCCCATGAGCACGACTGTTGAAGCATTACAAATTAAATGATGTAAGGTTTAAGTGAAAGAAATAACATTAAACAAAACATAAAGCTCAGAACGCATCTCTACATTTTCCTATCATGCACGTTCCCGAAGTTATTTATAGTTATTATGTCTACATGATGGCAATACTGCATATGTGCTCTTTGGCCCCAGTCCATGGCATAGAGCTCCCTAAAACCTTGACATTTCCTAAGTGACAGGAGTGTTTCTGTCATTCGTAAGAAGCCCCTTTTGAGGTTTGAGTCTAGTTACTATGTGGATGGATGAAGGAGACATGTGCAAACACACTGAGACCGACTCTACTGTAGAACCATCACCTTCTTCAAACAAATAAGCAAGAAGAACCCCTCTGTATGGAGATGAACGTGTAGAAAACACAAAGGCAGGCCAACCACTTGCTTGTAGCTCCTGACAGTAACTGCAGTATCTAACAGGACAGTAGTCAGCAGCTTTACAAAGAGAAGTAAGGTGAGTCTGTGCTGATTCTTAGTGAATGTCAATGTCTTCCTAGCATCTCTAACAAAGACGTCCCAGGCACTTCGGTCCACAGATGAGGATCTCAGACGTGGTCCTGTATGCTGACCAGCTGCAAAGTGTCCACGAAACCGCCGACCCTGTCTGGTAAGCATTGTGTGTGTGAACACCCGTAGATTTCCCACTGACTCGCATGGGGCTGTGACCACCAATGTTGCTGGGACCCCAAAGTTTTAATTCTGCCTTTTTAAAAACTGGAATTGTGTTTCTTACTGCTAATGTTCTACGATTCCTCATCTCTTCTATAGTACATCAAAGTGTATTAAAGGGGAATGAATTACTCATCTTTACCTTCTCTCAAAAAGTGGGAGAGTAAGTCACATCAGCCAGGGATTGTACAAATTTAGAGAAGATAAAATTATCAGGTATTTTCCTTTCGACAATACATTTTGCTTTAAAGAGGCTGTTTTTTTTTTTTTTGGAGAAGCAATTATTTCCTGAATATGTTTAACTTATTTTAATATTAGTAAAGTCTTTAATCAGGGTCTATACGGCATTTTCTATTTCCTATTCTTATTTAGAAATATATGTAGTATGCCGATAGTGTAGGAAATTTAGAAACTACTTAAACATATAAGAAAATAGAAAACACCATTGTAAGTCCTGACTTTTCCACTTCTTATTTTAGGGCACATATATTCCACACTTTAAAAAACGTATATAAATACATAGATAAAACCCATATATATGCATACGTGTATATCTGAAATTTTAAAACTGGGGCCAAGGCACCCTGTGGGGACATAGCGCACTTCTCGGGGCCCTTCAGTGTGTTTCCCATTTTAAAAAGGAACAGCAATGATTGGTATCTTTTGGCCAAACTGTGATGGACAGTGGCTGGCAGTGATCCACTCTTCCAACGTCCTGCTTCTTAGCTTTTGCGGGGGCCCCGCCCTGGTGAAGCTGGGATGTGGGTCATTGCTCAGATAAAAACAGTGGCCCCGTGAAAGTTAACAGCAGAACAGGAGATGAGGGTGGCGGCGTCAACTCGGATTCCAAAGCCCAGCATTGGCACACACATCCCTTCAGGGCATAATTGTCATTGTGAGAGCAAAGTAAAACTATGGTGTGTTCTTTCATTGAATGTGCATTTTTTTCCCCAAATGGCTACCGAGTTCTTAGGGCATGAACACCTTTAAGTTGTTTGGTTCGAACTACATTGGAGGGGTTGAGGGCAGCGGTGGAAAATTAGTAAGACACCAAGGGTCCCGTGAATTAAGAAAGTTTGGAAACCTCTGGCTGATTAATATTTCATCCTGTTTATTTTCTTGATATGCTCTGGTTGTTCTTTCAGCATTATCCCTTTATCTTAGTATGCATTACGCTGTGATAAATGTGTTTTTACGGAACTCATTCCTATATGTGATTAACAGTTTTGGATGTAGTTAATGCTGAATTGCTCTCAAAATAATTCATTTAAAAGCCCGACATGCCTATCAGTATATTATGAGAATGTATCATTTTTTACTAGACCAAGATCATTGATTTTTTAAAAATCTTTGATCATTTGGAAAGGAAAATATCCTCTTCCTTTTTTATGTATGATTTCTTTAAATTAGCCTAAATCTTAATTTCTTTAGTGACAATTATATCTGAGAAAATAGAACTTGTCAAAAGAACTACTAGTCAAATTTATGAATGACCTAATATAAATCAGAACTCACAATTCCTCATTTAATACTTTGTAATAAATATTAGGCAATACTTTGTATATAATACTGTATATTATCAAGTAAAGCATGTAATTTATATTCTAATTAATGACCAAGGAAAATATTATAACTTAAATTTATTGAGGACTTGTTAAAAGATCCTGAAAATGTGATAGATGGCCCTTTCTCTTCACATTCTTACTTTGGTGCTAACATTTTAAAAACATTTCAAGTATTTATTACCACAATTTGAGAAGTGAATAAAATGACCTATATTCGTAAACTGGGTTCTGAAGTCGTCCGTTCATTTTTCTTTGGAGAGTCAGATGGAAAGCTGGCAGGGAGGCACCTCATTCTCAGCCGCCTGGCAGCAGCCCCCAGACCCGCCCCCGCCCCGCCCCCCGCCCCGCCCCCCGGCCCACCTCGTAGTCCAGGTCCAGGTAGTCGAACTCCCCGTTGGTGCGGAAGTGCTGCACGCTCCTGTCCAGGGTGAGGTCGATGCTCCGGCCCTGGCGCTCGATGACCACCGAGTGCCAGTGGTGGTCGTCCAGCAGGCTTCCCGTCGTCACGGACGTGTGGCCGTAGATGGGGCCGAGCTGGTTGCTTCCTGGGTCACAGGGTGGAAGAGAAACAAGGCGATGAGGCCTCGGCTCTGAGACCTTTGATCAGACACCAGGGGCTGATGCGCTGTCTGCTGAAGTCTCCGGAGGAAAACCAGCGCGGGACTATTCTTCAAAACAGTTCTACGCTCAACGCACGTAAAAGCTAGTCAAGATGTAAAGGTCTGTACCCTTAAAAAATAACGAGCTTTTAAAAAGTATTAGGTTTTAAAATGTTATTGATTGATTGATTTGAGAGAGAGAAACATAGATTTGTTCCACTTATTCATGTATTCATTGGGTGCTCCCTGTATGTGTCGTGACTAGGGATCGAACCCACCACCTTGGAGTATTGGAAGGATGCTCCAAACAACTGAGCTACCTGCCAGGGCCTAGGCTCCTTTTAAAGTCAGTGTCCTGTGAGCTCTGGCACCAGAGGGCCTGGGTTCTGATGCTCTGTAATTCTGAGCAAGCTGACAGCTTCTCTGGGCCACTGTTTCTTCAGATGCAAAAAAGGGAAAATGGTGTTTGCTTTCTAAGGCTGCCACGGGGATCCCATTACTGAGTACGTGCAAAGAACTCAGCACACTTTCTGGCATATAGTGAACATTCGTGAAATGGTACCTGTTAACTATCTTTCATTACTGAGGTGGATGTTGTTCTTTGAAAATATAGCATGCCACCTTTCCAGTTTTCTCTCTCCAAATGCCATAATCTTAAGCACAATGTAACATTTAATGACATGGAAAATTTACACTAGTTATACCTATAATAGAAGCCTGCAAAAATATGGAGGGCAGTATGCTAGCTGCAGCGAGGCAGTCAGAAAAAGATGAGTACCATACGATCTCACTTACGGGTGGGAGCTAGTGAATAAAACAAAGTAGAGACAGACTCATGGACACTGAGAACAGACTGACAGCTGTCAGAGGGGAAGGCTCTAGGGGCTTGGGGAGAAGGGAGAAGAAATTAAGACATGAACAACAGCATGCTGATTATGAGGAGGGAAGGGGGGTGGGGGAGGCAGAAGAGGAACAGGGGGGTAAGCAGTGGGGGGAGGAGACTTGACTAGGGGTGATGAACATACAATACACTGATGATGCATCGCAGAATTGTGTAGCTGAAACCTCTGTCGTGTTATTAACCCATGTCGTCCCAATAATTTTTTTTTAAGTAACAAAGAGAAGCAACACCCGCCATTGGTACACACAGCCTAGTTGAGCAGGGTGAGTTCACTCTGCTTTCTGTGGCATGTGCATTACACATGGACGTTTTCTTCTGCGCTTGATCAAAAGTGGTCACGGTGTGAAAACGAGCTGTGCCAGTTGCTAAATGGTAATGGATAGATTTCAAGTGAAATACTATGATTTTGGTTGAGATTAAAAGTAGCTGTATAGGGAGTAGTCAATCACTAATAAGTGATGACTTTGGAAGAATCTGAGAATAAAGCTTTTCTGGAAAAACATCTATGGCATTAATCTAGTTTTGAAATAACATCTCCATTGTAATAAGGCTATAAATAAGACTGGAAGGCTGTGAGAATCCAAAATGTTTAATAAGATCATCTCTGGAAGCTGTTCATATATTTTATACCATTTTCTATTTTGTCTAATGAAAGACTGATTTGTATGGTCAGGCAAAACTAAATGCTATGAAAACAGGATATTGTTTCAGAATAAATAGCAGCATAGAAATAACAGAAACTCAGGACTGACAAATGAAACTATTTCCTTTTTCTCACATTTAAGATGCTCCTGATGCCCACACTGGATGTTTTTTAAGGGATTTCCTAGGTCCAATTTTCTTCCTCCTGGAGGTGAACTAGAATGTGATGACCGTGTGTGAATGTGGCAGGCGGGGGGAGAAGAAAAGAAGGAAGAAATCTAGGTGAAAGGCTACTCTCGGTTCTATTCAAGTATTTAGATCAGAAGATGAAGCAGCCACCAGGTGTGTGTGATGTCTGGGTAACAGCATTAAGGAGCAACAGTGGATGAGGGACTGAGTGTCTATGGCTGTCATACATTCCAGTCAGTCGGTAAAGGTCTATACGTAAAATGCTTTCCAGAGAAATGGTGAAATGGTACTGTTGTTTTTATTTTTTTTTGCGAGGTCACATGATCAGTGACTTGTCTCAGAAGAGTAATGGAATGTCCCACTTTTCTGAAAGCACGATGGCTCCATACGTGTTAGCTTTCTTAGAAAAAGGAGAAAGGATTGAAGAAATAAACCTTTGAAGATACAATCCAATTGCTGTGTGTGTGTATTCTGAACAACGACTTACATTTTTGTTTTCTGAGTTTCTCTCCCTCATTCCTCCTTTCTAACTTCAACTTCTTTCCCACTAAATTTATTCGGTTAATAAAATTATGCAGGTTTCAAGTGTACAGTTCCATGATACCTCATTTGCATATCATGTCTTAACTTCTATGGGATCACCCTTCAAAAATTATTGAGAGCTAATCTCCTCGCAGGTAACCCATGCATGCATGCTCAATATTAAGATTAGAGAAAACTAGAAAGAATTAACATGTAAAACATTACCACTTATTTCCATCAGTGAAGAGTGAGGTGCATTTCCTTCCTTTTTAGTTCTTTCATGTTACATACATATTATGCCAAGAGTAAATTATGCCTTTATGTTGTCAAATGGCCACCCCCCTCTCCTGTCTTCTTAGGCGACATTTGAGGTGAATTCAACACAGCGACCGCCTCTGTTCCTTATTTCCTCCTATTCACCACCCACTTCTCAGAGTCCACTTAGCACCCTCCCCTTCCGGTCTCATGCATGCCACGCATCTCGACTCTGATGACTCATCAGCAACCAGAACGCACCCTGACCAAGTGGAGCGCTACTGGAAGAAACAAACAATCTTCTATTAGAAGACCCTCGACAGATAAAAAAGGGCTTCCTGTATTTCTGAAGACGGCACGAATGCCCAATGGAGCCTAAGCCATACCCTAGGAATTACCTTGTATGTATACTCTTCCTCTTTTGCTAAATACCCAATTCATTACAAGTCATGCCCAAGTGCCACTCAAGTCATCTCCATGGTGGTCACACGCCTCTGCATCTCCACCTTCTGCAGGCCAGTGCCAGCTCACCTTGTACCTTGAGGAATTCATCTTCGAGTCTCATGTTGGTGGAAGCATTTTTTCTTGTAGAAGTCTCAGCGAGCTCCCATTCTTTAAAAAGTAGTATCTAAGCCCTGTACTGTGCTTGACAGGATCTGACAGGGTTTGAACCACCCCTAACTTTTGGATTTCGTCTTTGCTCCCACTTACTCCTGCTTCCCTGCTGTTCTGCAAAATGCTCTTCTCCCCGACAGGCTCCTGGCTAGTTTTTGTCGTCAACCTCAGCTTGGACATCTTCTTGTGGCGGACTTTTCTCAGTCCATGTTCTCATGTTGACCCCTGTTGCCTCTGCAGTGTTGTGTTGGCCCATTGAACTGAGCTCATGTTATGGCTGACTCTCAAACAACCCAAGGGTGAACAGCATGGGTTCACTTACACACAGGTTCTACTTAATAACTGCAGTCAGCTCTTTGCATGTATGGACTTTTCACATTCCCAGTCCCGGATTCCCAACCCCAAATGGGAAATACTCTTTTCGATCCATGGTTAGTTGAAGCCATGGATGCAAAGAGTGTACTGGAGAATCAAAAGTGGCGTGAGCCCTGGCTGGTGTAGCTCAATGGATGGAGCATGGGCTTGAGAACTATGGGATCAAGGTTTGATTCCCAGTCAGGGCACATGCCTGGGTTGCAGGCCAGTTCCCAGAGGGGGACACACGAGAGGCAACCGTACATTGATATTTCTCTCCCTCTCTCCTTCCCTTCCCCTCTAAAGATAAATGAATAAAATCTTAAAAAAAAAAGTGGCATGGAATTTCAGCCTCAGAAGGGAGGGTTTGGTGTTGTTCAAAGGTCAGCAACTGTACTGGTCATTTCTTTTGATTTCATTGTTTGAAAATGATAACAGTTAACCCACTGTCTGACTCCCGCACCAGGTGATGAACTTTGTGAGCTCAGCATCCTCCTGCTTCTTCACCATGGCAACCCCGATGCCAGTATATACCCTGCACAATGCACCCTCCGTCAATACTTTTTGAATGCATGAGTACATCAAAGTGTCAATACAGACCAACCACTAGGGGTTCAATGTGAACAGATAACCATGTGACCTGTTTTCACAACTTACATTTTCAGGCTTAAACAGCATTGGCATTTCATTCATGGCAATGTTAATAAGGGGAAAGTGTGACCCCCAAAGTCGGAACACACCTAGGTTCAAACTGAAGAGCAGCTTGGCTTTCCTCAGCTCCAGCGTGATGTAGTCCCCTTGCTGGCCTTCCCCGTGCAGGATCACCCCTTCGCTCTCGGTGGTTTTAAATTTCAAGGCAATGACATCTTTCAGCGTTTTCATCTTCTTGTTTCTGAATCTATACGGCAACACAACGTGGCCATCAAAGTTGATAACATCAGCCCCTAAAATAAGAACAAAATAACATGACAGTTCAGTTCTGGTATGTTATCATCCAGTGTGAAGTACATCTATGCCCAACCAGCCTCTGCACAGAAAAAAATAAGAAAGAAGTGTTTTGTTGTTTTTTTTTTTCCTGAGAAATCTGGAGTCCTGGGTTCTTGTTCTTTTTTTTCTTTTGGTTGATCATGTGTCCTGAACTGACGATGGGAAGATGTCATAAAGAATGATCACAGAAACCACTCTTGATATAAAATCTTACTTCAGCTGCAATTTTGGTTAATAACATAAATGTCCTCCATGATTTATATACTTCACATTTTAACTTGGGAATCTAGAGTTTATCTGAAATAAGTAAAAATTTTATTCCTTGTGGCATGAGACTTTACTGTCTTCCTTTTTCAATGAGGCTAATTATTATGATTTTTAAATATAAATTTTACTCACACATTAGCCTTTCTTTGACAGAAGAATGAGAGCCCTTGAAATTCAGGGTTTGATAGTCTGCTGACATTCTAACGGTTTTTATATCCTACAACATTCTGAGTACCCTTTATGGTGGTACTCAACTTTATAGCTAATTGAACTTGAAGAAATTTCTTAACATTTGCTCTTGGCCTCCTGTCTGCCTGAAATTTCATGTCAGTTCCTTGCCTTTCGAGTGGAGAACTGGGTAACTCCTCTCTCTGACCACACCAGTTCTTTAGCCATAAGTGAGTTAAGAGGAGGAACATCTAAGCTATCCTGTGACAATAAAGGTGCTAATTTGATTTCAGGGAATTTCACTGGAGACAGTAGCATATACACTTTTTAGAAGTATAAGGAACTTTGTCACCATCCTCAAAAAAAGGTGAGGGTGGGGACTTGTTTTAGAACTGTCACTTCCTTCACACAGAAATGGACATGAGATTGTCTAATGTATCCTGCCCTATTGGTTAGGGTGGTTCCAACCCAAGAACCCAGTGTGAGTGCAAAAAAAGTCCAAAATCAAAGAACAAAAAAAATTTAGTTCTCACCATTAGACCTTCCTCATTAGAAGTATTTTTAATCCATTTATTTGGCTTTTAATCTGAAATCAGAGAACCCACTGAAACCAAAGCTCCACATACTTTAGAATTACAAGACCACCTCTCCGTCTGGGGCCAGGTCTGACTCAAGAACTCCGTGGGGAGACACAGGAGAAAAGCGATAGCAAGTTTGAGGCCGGTCAGGGAAATGTTTTCTCATTCCATGTCCGAGTGCGCTGATCCTTCTCTGCTCTAGTCACCAGAGAACACTCTGGTTCCCCCACAACAAGAGGGCACCACCACACACCATCCCAAGGCAGCTGCTGTTGAGGTCCAGAACCGCCAGAGGCATCGCACGCACGCTGATTTTCTGTGTGTGTGCATTACTTGCCAGTATGATTTTTGCTCTTATCTAATTCTACAGCATGACTGTCATGGACACTCTCATCTTGTACGTTACTTGGAAGTGATACAGAAAAGAGAATGACAGCGTCAGGGGTATTGGGGGGCAGGGAGAAATACGTGAAAGGATTACGCAAAAGAAAATCCACGAAGTTTTCAAAAGATTTTATTTATTTATTTTTTAGAGGGAAGGGAAGAGAGGGAGAGAAACTTCAGTGTGTGGTTGCCTCTCTTGTGCCCCCTACTGGACACCTGGCCTGCAACCCAGGCATGTGCCCTGACTGGGAATCAAACCAGTGACCCTTTGGTTTGCAGGCCTCTGCTCAATCCACTGAGCTACACCAGCCAAGCAAAACCCACAAATTTTAGAGACACAGAAAACAGCATGGTGATTACCAGGGGGAAGGTGGGAGGGGACAGGTAGAAGATAGCAAAAGGGGGCTAACTGGTGTTGGAAGGAGAATTGACAGGGGTGGTGAACACAGAATACAGTGCACAGGTGCTATATTATAGAATTGTGCACTTGAAACCTGTATCATTTTATTAACCAACATCACCCTGATAAGTTCAATAAAAATTAAAAAATAAATATAATAAAATGAAGAAAAGGAACTAAATCTAAGTTTTTCCTTCAAATCATTGATAAATTTTAAATCCTTTAAAAATATTTATTCTATGACCTCAAATATTTGTGGTTTAAAAAACAGGTTAGAGAATTCTTACATTCCAAAAGCTCTAAGAGAAAAATAAAACTTTGAAGTTACGATTCTAATAGTCGATTCCTTGCTGTCCATAAAAAGACTTTCTTAATCAACAGAATTCTGTTCTCTAAGACGGGTTCGTGAAGGTTTATTTTACTATGGGGGAAAATCAGCCATTAAATTTTGGTTTCTGCTAACACTGCAAAGCCAATTAGACTTTAGCTTAATCAACTATATTGTCACAGCTGAATTCCAAGTGAAGCATCCTTATCGTCTTTGATGAGAAATAAAAGAGAGAAAAGTGAAATCTGATGATCAGATCCCAGGTTGAATTTATAATCCAGTAGTTGGTAGGTATTAGCTATTATTTTCTGTCTTAAAAAGTACCTCCACGCAAAGTCACAGGGAAGGAATAAATTCTGAACTCTAGAAGGTAAATCGCAGTTTCATCTCGGTGACAGAAGATAACAGATGTATCCTTGTTTTACACACCATCCATATATATTAACCAACAAACGTATTTCCCATTCACCTCTCAGGAAGCAAATGTTTCCTGTGCTTACATAGAATGAAGGATTTCTCCACACTGTATCCTCTCCCAAATCAAAATCTGCATTCAGTTTCACGTACAGAACAGTGACTCAGGCAGATGTTGATGTAAAGAAAAAAGTGATAGTGATAGAAAGGATGGGCATAATGTATTTCTTCAGAAGGTCCTAGAATATTAACAAAAACATACCAAACCTCACCATACAAATGGTCAGTGGTCAGTGGTTAGTGGAGAAATTGAAAAAAATGCTTTGCAAGCCAATTCTCTCACAGTATTAAATCAAAGGTGTTCTTTTCTGAATGGGTTAAATGCTTGCACTGTATCGGCCTGTGGCTGTGATCTTAGAGGTGGCTTTAAGGTTACAAAATTCCTAGAAATAATCTATGATATAAATGTGTACACTAACACACACCCTACACTTTTAAGAGAGTCTGGGGTATGGTAACATCCAGAATTTAGTTCTATTTCCTACAGAAATAGGTTGAAGTTTTATTTGACATCCAATAATCTGTGGTTATTTGGGGGCAAGTCTTCTCCCTCCCCACCCCCTAGGTTACCCCAATTGCTTATCACTCCCTAGAATTAAGTTTTCTATGCAGTGATTAAGTGTGTGTGGTTGAACTATTGAAGCAATTTGAGCAATGATAACAGCTAGTCAAAAAGTGAGTACAAAATCAAGTGTTTCCACGGTTCTGTTTCTAACAATAAGTCGGGGAGCTGGCAACATGCCAGTTCATCAGATCTCTGTAGCAGAAGTGTTTTTAAAAAAGGACATTTCATTGTTACTTAGTCTACTTTATGAATTTAGATAAGGTATTTTGGAGAAGTTTCTACCATTGGAAGGTTTTAGTGTTAAGAAATAACTTTGTGATATTTTTTACTACAACTATAATGCATGCTTATCGACAAGAAATTAAATACAGTAATAGAAATATGGAATGCAATTCCCAAACACAAGAGGTCACCAATGTTAATGAGTAAGAAGTTGGCAAAAATATTATTCTAGATTTTATGCATTTTATTATCTACTTTAAGCCATGTATTATATATGTGTATATACATGTGTGTACATATACACACATACATATAAAAGAAAGAGGGAGAGAGAGGAGAATGCCATTTCATTTGGTTATGTATCCAAATTTACAATGGTAGCATGAGTTTGGGGTAATGAGATATTTATGACGTAGGAAACCTGTATTTACAGCTGGTTAGTATGCTTTATTGACCTCCGCGCACCAAGGTATTTATATAAAATAAGAATATATGTAATTTATCCTACACACTTGATAAAACAAGATGTGTTTCTAGTTCCACGTAAAACACTGTTTAAACGTTGGGGCCAAATTTTAACACCGCATAGGTTAAAACATGGCAATCCGATTTAGGAGCTTGTTCTCCAGGCTGCTGTTTCCATGGTGATTTACACCACCCTGAGGAAAAGATAAATTGTCCGTAATAGAAGAGAGGATGGTGGACATGGAGGTGCATCGGGCGCTTCTGACCAGCTGGCCCTTGCTGGACGCCACCTCGTGAACATGTCTCTTACTCTCTGTCCTCTGGGCTTTGCTGGCCCAGGAGGGGCTGTGCCTCCCAGGGCCAGCCAGTGCCTGCGGGCCCTCTCCCCAAATACAAACCAGCCCCAACCCAGCTACCGGCTCTCAGGCTCTCGTCCACCTGACCCGAGCACCCCAGGGTTGGGCACCGGACTGCTGGGGACACTCCCCGAGTCCCAGAGCCGAATGGAATAGCTCGAACTAGCCAATCCTAACCCTGCACACCCTGCCTCTCCCCTGACTTCCTGTCGAAGCCACAGCGGGGACTCTTGCCCCACCCCCACTCCTGCTTCCCCACAGAGGCTGCCTCCTCTGTGGGGTCCTCCCATCACACCCCTCCCTCATGGCGTGATGTGCCCCTTCCTGCTGGGAACGAACTATCTTTTTGGAGGCAGTGGTATCATGACATGTTGACCCTTCTATAACCTTACATTTTCTATCGATATAAAACAGACCTGTTGATCTTACTATGCTTCACATACAGTACATTCTAAAACACCCTCTACAGAAAATTCCCTTAACTACAGTATATCTTAGAAAAGAAGGGATATGTCAAAGTGCTGGCCAAACAAGAAAAAAATAGAGTTTTTGGCGAGAGTCATTCCACAAGGCTGCGAAAAGCTCCTTCGCAGTGCATTTACAAACCATCATCCCGTGTCTGACATCAGCCGGCATTCTGTCTCCTACCACCCTCCGCGGCACCGTTCCAAGAACCTGGGGCTACTCAGGTGAAGGGGTGAGCTTTAAAGACAGAACAGATGAGCTCTCCTGCTTAAGAAATTAAGATAC